TAATAATAATATGTTAAGGGGGTAGTAATATTTTAGATTAGTCTACTAGCCAGCGTTTTTCTATAAAATATAAAATTGTTTTTTTTCCAATATAATTTTAATCATAATATATTATGTAAAATTAATAGACCATGTGTCCTGTGGGAAGTGATCATAAAAATAAGAACATTGTGTTATTAAAAAATCTCCATTAAAGAAAGTTAAAATTTTTTTAGTTAGGTATTTGCTATTCAACTTTTTTTTAAACAAAACCAAACCTACCGCACATTTGCTGATGTATCTTAAAAACTTTTAAGCTTCTTATCATGTTTACTTTTTTATATTTTAAAACTGTTTAATTATAGTATATACTTACATACACAATGACCAGTCACATCCAGAAATGTACAGTTCATTTTTATTGAATTAAAACAAGTTAAATAAAATAAGCATTTTTAAAAAGAAATAGGCGAACGACACTGAAATAAAATATTTAAGGTATTCTAGGTATCGTTCTGTAGAAATATTGATTTAAAAAAAATTACGGCAAAAAGTTGAAAAGAATTGAAAATTCATCAGCAAATGTGTTGTATGGTTTTGTTAAAAAAAAGTTAAATTGCTCATAACTAAAAAAATAAGAAAGTTAGAACCCCTAGGGTTTATAAGGTTTTTTTTTAAAACTAGGTATACTATTTTATGACTGTTGGTAACAAATTATTGGTATAAGAACAATACAATGTGAATACGTACATGTTTCATCAACGACCGGCGATGGAAAAATGTTTGCAATGATAGTGAATTTCTTGAAAATACCGATAATTAACTTGATAAAGGAATAGAAAACATCCCAAAATAAAATAAAAATATTATAGACTAAAAATAGAAATATCGATGTGCGATTGCACACACGTATTAACTAATATCTATAGATAACGCTGACCAAAATTGAGGTTTTTGATTGTAACCCGGACTAAATTATAGTGTATTGAAAAATAGTGTGTGGATGACGCCATTTGGCGCCATCCGCAGTGAACGTGTTAACCATGGGACAAATTGTATAACAATGTTATTAAATACAATTTTTTATCAGTCTTCACTAAAATTGAATGGCAGATGATTGGTATTTGTAAATTATAATACAAAGAAATATAATGTACATTTCTTACTATTATTATAGTTCTGTAATTATGATCTACTTATCAGAATCATAACCAATTTATTTAATATTATTTGTATTTGTATTTTTACTCATTTATTATACACTAACTCAATTAACTGATTTATGTTATCATATTATAATATTGGTCTAATGCATGTAACCACAAACCTTACATTAAATAAAAAATAACCAATTTAAGAGTGTTAGAGTCAATTGTATCATCATTCAATATATTCCAAAGCCTTCTCAGTTCTCACTAGTTTTCTCTTTAGTTTATAGGCAATGCAATATAATAGTTATATAACTATGTTTATATTGTAAATTTACTTAATTTTTATCTGGTTGTAACAATAATTAAATTTGAAATGGTAGTACTTTCATAACCTTTTATAATGTTTAATTTGAAACAATTATAACAGTTGTGTCAATATTAATAAATAACAATTAATTATATTACTTATTGGAGTACAATTAAATACATTTAATTATTCTATAACCTGATAAGCAGTGAATAACTTCTTAAATTGAGATTAACTACATATTTCAATTGTTTATAGTTAATAACTGTCTTAGATATTTGTGCATCTTATATTTTACACACAAATATATATTATTAAACTTATACAAAGCAAATTAATAATTTGTTTTAGTTGGAATACTTCAAAAATATCCTGTGAAAATTCAAAATGGTAAATAATGTATGTCAAATTTGGTATATTTATTTTGGTGAATCAGAATAAATTTTAATACAGATATGAAATCAAATCATTAATGGTTGTTTATTAACATGTTAAGCAAAATACCAAGTAAAAACACAATTTTCTTATTTTTTCCATATTTGTATTATACCTATTTATGTCACAATTCAATTTAGAAATAAGGAAATTATACGTATAAATACAATTATATGATTTAGTATTTTCCATGTAACTATGTTGTACATTACTCACTTAGGTATAATGCGAGGTATAATGTATAAATGCAGCTTAGTTCCCATTTGATTATTGAATTGATTTATCATTATCTGTGACGATAATGAGTGTGCCAGTTGAGTGTCATCAATGCTGCTGTACTAAATTGTTATCTCAAATATAGCATCCATTAATTAACAATTAATCAACAAAAAAAACGTCATTAGTATATTGTGGATTGTCAAAAACTAAAAATTGTCCAATATGCTTTAAAAAGTTTGGGAACCCTCTGTATAAATAAGTTGAAGATTATCATAACAATATGTATTTAAATGTAATAATGTATTAATAATGTAGTTAAAAGTAAAAATTTACTTGTTGTACTGTTCTATGTACTTTTTATTTAAATGTTTTTATTTTTATCATACAATTTACAATCTTAAATGTTTATAACTTGCTTTAAAATTAAAATATAAAAAAAATCCATTGAGGTGCCCTAGATAATATTCTCACCTTTAAATCAATTCTCTTAAATATTAAAAAGGTGCTCTGTTGTACAGTAGGTAACAAGTAGGTCACGGTCTAATGGATGATATTAAATTTGAATTCATTGATATAATATCATTGTATAAAAAATACGATTCTGAGCGGAGACGATATGTGATGTCAGTCTAGGTATAAGGCATATTATATACTTATCTATGGTATTAAAAAAAATTGACCTATTATAGGTACCTATAATAAATTTCAAATTAATCATATCACAATATCCATTAGGTACTTATAACACTTTATACATCAACAAAAAACCCTGATACTATCATAGATATATAATAATGTGCTTTAGAAATTTCTAGTACCCACGAATAATATTATACAATCACAACGAAATAACTAAAATAGTTATTCTAGGTTTTTTTATGTGATTTCATCGAAATTTGAACTTAAAATGACTATAAAAATAAACTGTGCATATGTATTTTTTAGTATTTTTGATAACAGAATTAACTACTTCTTGTTTTAAATTTTCAATTCTTAGATATAAAAGTTGAAAATTTTATACATTTTTAACTACAAAATAATTATTCAATTTTAAATTTGATAAATTTTGTCAAAATTCGATCTTGAAATGCTTATAAAAAAAAATTGTGCTGGTTTATTTTTAATATTTTTCAACTGATATTGTAGCAGTATATCAGGAGCCTTGTATTAAATTTTTACACTTTTTGGCCCAACCGATAAAACTAAATTGATATTTATCGAATAAAAAACTAAAAAAATTGGAAACTGAAAATGTCCGTAAACAGCTCAAAAAAAGTCAAAATATTTTCAAAACTGTATGGTGTATAGGAAATGCTAATATAAACATTCAGTGAAATTTTCATGTATCTACAGTTATTCGTTTTTGAATTACAACAAAATAAGGAAATCGCTACATAAGAAATCGAGCGAATATCCAATATTGTAAAAATTTGAATTTCAAACTCTCATAAAAATTTAATTTGACTTTCTTATAGACAATTGTTTCTTGATAATGGTAGATTATCTTATAAGGAATTTGTATCACAAAATTTTTACGAATTTTTTTACTTAAAATGCATATAAAAAAACTGTGACTAAGGATTTTTAATATTATTCATCTGCCTTTGAAACAATAAACTAGAAACCCTCTATTAAATTTTGAAGTTTTTTTAACCAACTAATAAATTTTTATTGATATTCATAAAAAAAAAAACTAATAAAATTGGAATCTGAAAATGTCCCTAAACAGTTCAAAATAAATCAAATATTTTGAAAATGTTATCGTGTATAGAAAATACAAATATAAACAATCAGTGAAAATTTCACTTATCTACGGTTATTTGTTTTAAAGTTACTCCAAAAACCAAAATCGGTGTTCTCGAAAACAGATTTTGCGTAAAAATTCCCGTTTTTCATTAATTTTTCTTTTATTTTTCACGGCGCTTTTGAAAACCAATGTGAAATTAATATTTTTGACCCCCCTAAGTACCAACTAAATTCACATTCCTATCAGAAAAGATACTGTTGAAGAAAATCCAAGCTTTTTTACTGACCTGAAAGGTGATGACAGACACAAAACAAAATTAAAAAATGAAAAAAAAAACACATTGTAAAATCAATACATTCATCGTTCCAATCAGAATCTAAAATAACAGAAAAAAGAGATTTATTTTAACATACAATTTACTGTGTGTTAGTAAGAATGATACAACATATGTGGGCATAACTTCCTTATATTATGGAATACAAATTAGAAAACATAAGTAATAAAATATGCATATTGATTCAAATCAATAATTACAAAATATGTGTGCCCACGGGGGTATGAAACTTTTTTCTGAATATATTTTTATTGCAATTTACTTCAATTCTGTACATATAACTATATTTTTTTATGTACAAATAATTATTCCTTTAAACATCTTATCTATAGCAAAATAGTATAAATATATATATTCTAAATAAGAGTAAATTACTTTGCAATGTTGTATGAAATATGAAGTTGTTAAAGACAAATTAACAAATAATTACACTTTAGTATCATACAATTTAATTTAATTAAAAATATCATTGTTGATACTTCAATATTTTATTTTTTTTACAACAATCATAACAATTAGAATTATGAACCTATATTGATTTTATCTGGCCATAAAAATGTATGTAGGTAACATAACACCTATCTATTGAAGTCAGTAGAGTGTGATATATCATAATACAAGGATTGTTTCTTGCTTTTGAATTGGTCTGTGTTGTTATTATATTACACAGGTGCATTACATAATGGTTATCCAAACTCAAAAAACAAGTTTATAATTGTTTAATTTAATTAAAAATAATATTAAATTTCATGTAGGTACATGTTTTATTGATCCATGTACAATGTAATAATTAGTTACCTATATTTAATAATATTTTTTTTTCGATAGTCTATGGGAGATAAAGTTACAAATCTTTGGAAAAGGGCCAGTGATGAAGGAGAAAATAGGGATGAAATTCCTTGGCACCTAAAATATGGTAGCAGAACATTGGGGACATTTGCAGGCATTGGTATGTATCATAACAAATGGCAAATGGTGTATTTCTGAATAATTGTTACATATTCTTTTCAGTTAATTTATTCACTGGTGTTTGGAATGGACTGGGATTGATTTTTTTAAACACAGATTGTTTGTTTGGTGGAATTATACAATTGTATGTATATCAAGTAGTAATTATTAATTTTTTGTATACAATTTAATACCTATAATAAACTGAGTTATGTGTAATTTCAGACTTCTTGGTATTTTACTTATTGCATTAGAAGCACCATTCCTTTGTGTGTTTATCGATTATATGCAGAAAGTTAGTGATGTTGCTGAAAATAAACCCTACTGGACTAGAGCTATTTTATATGCTGGGTAAGAATCGAGAAATTTATTTATTAAATATTTTTATACAAACTATTTTTGAACGCATGATTACAACTTTTTTTAAATTGTAAAATATTGATCAATCCAGCATTAAATTACATTTGAATTAATTTTTTTCAGGGTATCGTTAATACCAATTCTTTTATGTTTTGGCCCAAGTACATTAATAGCTAGTGCTTTAGTATTTTGTACTGGTTTATTGTATGGTCTTATGTCAGTTGGGAAAAAGTAAGTTCTTATTTATGTTTTATCTATACATTTTATTTATTCACTTTATAATTAAGCTGATGTCAAATATTTGTTTACTTTGTGTTTGATTATTATTGTTCTAAAAACACTGGCTTTTTGTTTTGTGTTTGTTACAATACTTACTACTAAATAGAGGATCTAGGGAAGATATGGGAGCTATTGCTTCTCCTGTTGATAACGTCTCTCAACCCATGGGCGGACATCACACAACTTTAATGGAAGATCCAGATGTGTGGCGTCCCACTTAAGGCAAACTTAACTAAATTTTTAAAGTGTATTATTGCTGCTTATGTTACTGGTAGTTCATCCGCTCCAATCATTCCATATAAAATATGCACTTTAATTAGATAAATAGGATTTTGATATACTTATAGTTTTAGTTTTCATAATTCATTACTGTAGTGACCCAACATTTATTTTACCACAGTAATATCAAAGTAGAAATAATTTTTTTTTAAACTCCAATTCCAAGAATTGCACGTCAAAATCAAATGTACTATTTTGTATTTCCATATAAAAATTAATTTTGATGTGTGAAATTGATTTATAAATGCATGTATATTTATTAATTTAATAATAATTTTATAATATTTGTTATAGAGCACCAGCAGAACAAATGAAAACAACTGCATCCACATTAGAGCCATGAGACATATACAACATTAGTGAAATATATACAATATAATACAGTATAATATTTTAGAATTCACTAAAACCAATTAAAAATAATGTGATGGTTCCCTAGTGATTTTTTTACCACCACTATCCAAATGCATTCCATCATACCATTATACCATGGTCTCCTAATTAATGATACTCATTTATCTATGGTAATCAAGTTCAACAAAATTAATAAACTGATTCAATATGTATCTTTTTATAGATATTTTTGATGCCCATTAATAGTATCCCTCTACATTTCACCCCATTTAAATTTATAATAGAGATTCACATATATATCTAATAACCTTGAATAAGATTATATTTATATTTATTCTATTTTAATCTTATTGCATGCCATTAATATACATTAATTTAGCTCTCGTGATTTAAAACAATTTTTAATGGGATTATCGAAATTTTATAACTAAAATATAAATATAACAATAATTACAAAGCGACTGCAGAATCTCTATTGAATCATTCTTATAATAATTGTATTCAATATTATTACCTTGTAATCTTAAAATTATTTACCTAGTTGAATAAGTTTTAGGTTACTTATAAAGTAACATAAACTACTTTTAAATATTTTGTTATTACCATTTTCCCTTAAGTTTAACTTATTTTAATCATCCCAAAGAACATACTCGCACCGTAATAACTCTTGAAAATGTTCCTGGAATTAATTTATAATATTTATCAATTTATCATATTATAATATAAAGAAGTTTATATACTATATGGTCATCTTTAATAACAATTGTTTATATAATTATTTATTAACATGAGTGTAATATTATTTAATTTATACTAGAAATCAATTAATAGTTAAACATTTTAGTATAAAATTAAAAATTGAAAATTTCCTATTGAGTTTTTTAAATGACTATTAAAAATTTTTTTCAAAGCAACGAAATTGTTATCTTAAAATTAATCATTTAAATAAAAACACAAATAATAATTATGTTCATCATTACTGTTATTCTAACTTCAAAGATTAAAGTGTAACAAAAATTATGAAAATGTAATGTTTCATACCATTGTTATTTACTTTTAAAATTTATTTAAAAATTATTTACATTTAAAATGTATTTAAAAATAAATTATTTAAAGTAAATAAATGTGTTTAAATACAATTATGTAGCATTCGATATCACAGATATGTATAATCCATGTATATCCTACTATACATTCAGGTTTTTAGATGGTAAGGACTTGAATTGATGATTTTTTTTTTATGAATTCTAAATGTATTCTTTTTATTATATTTAAACAATATTGGTAACATTCTATAAAAGAAATTAACAACAAACATTTCTTACAATTTAAGACAGTTTAATAAACATGCAGCTTATCCATATCTTTAATATCTATGAATAAAATATAATAATTGTATTTTCACAATGTTAAGAGGATATCAGTGCAGTTTTTCATTTCTCTCTCTGACCCAAGCGCAACCCACTTTCTCAAGTTTAAGAATTATTTTTTATTATTTATTGTTTTTGCAAATTTCAGCAGCCTTTAATAAATGAATAAAAAATGAATTGTACTTATCATTTTCTTACTATTAATAATATCAATTGTATGAGTACAAATATATAGACAATTTGGGTGTTTTCCTTCACAATAATGTACTATAATATGTAAGTTACTTAATAAAATTATTATACTAATATCTTTAAATTCTAAAAATCGAATGGAAGCTTTTTAAGTCCCTTTTTATAGAAATATTTTTATTTTTAATAAACCATATAAATTGAATTTAGACTTTAGATATGAACTTTTTTTATAAAATATAGGCAAAAACTTATTATCTATTAATTAATTTGACCTTTGAATATGTCATAGTTAAACATTGATTATTATTTATAGTTTTAATTATAAGTTTAGACTATAAATTATTTGAATATTCATTGTAAACTTATAATTGTTATGAATTGTTGTATAATTGGCAAAACATATGTTACCTACTAAATTAATACACCTAATAGTAGAGTTTATTAATATTATAATAATATATCACTATACTTGCATACCTTACTACAAGTTTTATGGGTTTTATAATAATATTTTCATCAGTATTCAAACAAAATATTAACTATTGTATTATTTAATATGACATTTAAAAAAGTTATTTCGAAAATAAAAAATTAGAACTATATCTTAACTGTATTCAATTAAAACATATACAAACTTTAAGTTTGTATAGTTGTACAAACTTTGTATTCATTTTAACCTATAATATTTATAATTATACAAATAATATAATGTATAATATATAATACATAATACATATTATGTAAAGTGTACCTATATGAGGGTTAAAGATCAGAAATATAATCCATAAAATCGAAAGCTTTCAGATTACATACACTAATGAAGTATGTAATTTTTACATTAATTAATTTTTTGAACTCAACTGTTGCTGAATTTAAATTATTTAATTTGTTCTCTTAATGAGTAACCAATTCAATTTTTTAATTGGTATTATAGTTTATCCATATTATTTTGTTTTTAAAATGTATTTTTAAAGATGTTGATGAAACATCCAAAATATCCAAAATATCCAAAATATTTTTTCTTTTCGTTACTTTTTGTCTCTTCTTTTAAAAAATTATATTGGTTAAGACTTAAAAGAACTTAATCAACCATTTTTAATCCATATTTAAATGGGTACCTCTCATCTGTTGTACATTAAGAGGAGGTCGCACCTGCATAGTTGTCTCCGTCTTACACACTTACGGCATACCAAAAACTATTTTGGCTCGGGTAAAAACCGAGAAGGTTACATTCATAATTAAGAAACACAATTTACACCACATAAAAAGGGGAACATAAGCAGTGAAATATTGTTTTTAACTTTTTGATATCGGAACTTAAAAAAAATTGTTGTGTTTGAAAAACACAAAAAATAGATTTTGAAACAAGAACTTTTTTGTATAAGTGATATCAAAAAAATAAAAACGATATTGCACTGCCAAAGCTCTCTTTTTATGTGGTGAAAACTTCTTTTCTAAGTTAAGACTGTAGACTTCTCGGTTTGTTCCTGCTCAAAACTGTTTTTGTTATGACGTATGTGCTTAAGACTGAGACAACATAAGCGGTTGCGATGTCCTCTTAATAGACTGTGTGTTGAGGTATAGCTGTAATAGATGAGTTAAATTTGAATTCAAAGATATACAATTAATGTATAAGAAAAATACTTCTGAGTACAGACGGTCCACTTATATTAATATTTAGGTAAGTATATTTTATATCATTGCTATTAAGGTAATATATTTTACTACTAAACATGTACAAATAGTATATAATATATAAGATAAAATACAAAAATTTTCAATTCCCCTATAAGCATAGCTTGTGTTAGGGAGTTTTTGACTTAAATTATTGACAATAATATATATTTCTAAAATATAGTTACAAAATTAAATCATTTGTTATTAATCAATAATCATAAATCAATTTGTGTAAGATCAACATTCTGTAAGTCTAGTTTCAAATCATTTACATTTTTAAAATTATATATATTTATTTTAAGTAGGTACCTATTCATTAATCTGATTGCAATTGAAATAGAAATTTTCAAGCCAAACTGTTTATGGTATAGAGGAACATTTAGATTAATATTCGTTTTATAACGTGTATTATAAATATGATCACCATAAACAGTATTATTTTTAAATTTATGAAAACACAGTAATAACTTCTTAAAATATAAACATTTAATATTAAGTACCTAGTTTCATCAAAATTTGAACTTAAAATGACTATAAAAATAAACTGTGCGTATGTATTTTTTAGATTTTTTTGGTAACAGAATTAACTACTTATGTGGAATTTTGTTTTAAATTTTCAATTCTTAGGTATAAAAGTTGAACATTTTATACATTTTTAACTACAAAATAATTATTTAATTTTAAATTTGATAAATTTTGTCAAAATTCGATCTTGAAATGCTTATAAAAAAAAATTGTACTGGTAGATTACATTGTATACAAATTTATTATTGGTAAGCCTTAGTATATTAAATATAAATTTGATTACACTATTTAAAGTAATATTTAAAGAATGAATATGAGACTCATACGCTTGTCCCCAAAAGACAGTAGGTAGCATAGCATAAAATAGATTGATTTAAAGCTAAATAAATTATTCATTTCATATCAATGTTAAACCGAATGTTTCTAAGGAGTTCAATATAGGCAATTTTCTAATTGTTTGCATGCGGGTCGTCTAAATGTGTGCGTAGTAGGTGATTATTAGCGTGAGTGACTGTGTATAAAATAAATATTGGAGCACACCCGCACGTGCTCTCACATGTCAGTAACTGAATATTTTACACTCCAATTACAAATGTGAATTTTAGTGAAACACTGTAACTTAGTTTCGTATTTCCAATAATATAGCTTACTGAGTGACATCGCAGTATGAACACCTATTATACAAATTGAAGAGACGATGTTTATCTAGGCTTGTCTAGGAGTCGATTTTCGATATTTTATTTTCAATGCCCAATATTTAACACTCAAACTTCACTAACTTGTGATATTTTACTTTTTGAATTATTTAGTTTAGTAATTACAAATATCAAAAATTGACTTCTATACAGGCACAGATTAACTTCTCTTCTATAACATTGATAATAGGTGTTTTTACTCTCAAACCGCTCAATAAACCATACTATTTTAAATACAAAAGTACATTTTCATAGATTTTTTTCAATACTATTCATACTCCTTACCCCTCTACGGTCATTATTTAAAGGGCAACATTCAGGCAATTTCTAATCTTGTAATAGCCGACCGGGATCTATGACGTGTTAGTGTTTTCTTTATTTTCCCGATTAACTATTAAGTACTTACATTTTGAATGTTCCTATTATCCCGAAAAATATTTTGTTTATTACGGATTTTCGGTCTATAATAATTAGAAAATATTATCAGAAAAATTTAGATATATTCACGTAAAGAACTTCGTATTTATGTT